TATATATATATATATAGCGAGAGAGAGAGATTTATCTCAAGGAAATGGCTCACATGGTTGTAGAGGCTGGCAAGTCTTGAGTCCATGGTTCTCCTGACTCACTTAGCTGCAGGAGCTGATGAACCCAAGATTGGCGGGTCAGACGGCAGGCCACTGGCTCACTGACAGCAGAGGCTGATGAATCCAAAATCGGCAGGCAGTATGGCAGGCTGCTGCCTTAAGTCCCAAGAACCGGAGGTCACATGATGATGAGCTGATTGCAGGATTCTGAGTGAGCAAAAGCCAGTGAGATTTGGCAAAATGTCCATATATATTGGATGCAGGCCACGCCCCTGAGGAAACTCCCCGTACAACTGATTGGCTGATCACACCAGATCACATCATGGAGGTGTTGCATGATCATATCAGATCACATCATGGTGGTGAATATGTTATATCACAAAATGGAGGATAACTACATCATTACATAACTGCCAAATTACATCATTACATGACTGCCAAACCACTGAGAATCATGGCCCAGCCAAGCTGACACAAGACCTTAACCATCACAGACCACCCCTTGTCAACTTGGCACCTGTACACATCTCCTTAAACCATTATACAGTCTCTAAATGAAGACAATTACAAAGTCATCCTTGCGCCTAAGATAATACAACTAATATGCTTACAACTGAAAACACACTAGCCCTGTTTACTTCTTATATTTTATAAGTGAAGAAAACAAAAATATTTGATGCACACATACAAGGAAGGAATACTCATAACAATTACAGTCCTTATTTTTGCAATTGGTCAAGTGGTCATAACTGGTATTTAGAACTAGCTTCTTCCACCACCCATTCCATATTCCCTTTACCCTCAGCAAGCGCCTCAGCTGGTTGTGGTTCTTTGCCTGGTGGAGTGACCCAAACCTTCATTCCTGAAGGGTCTGGGCCATTAGTAGTCATGTCAGAATTGGGTTGCTGTAGTTTTCCATTGACTTTAATCACAAGGCATGGGAGTACTAAGAGACGTCCTAAGGGATCTCCTGTATTCCAGACATACTCTTCTTTACCTCCAGTAAGTAATATCAATCTGATTTTCCCCTGGTAATCAGTATCAATCACACTGGCTGGTACAGTAACCTTTTCTTTGCCTGTTGATCCAAAGGCATGAGGAGCCCAGATTGGCTGGGTGGCATTCTTAACTTTCAGTTCAGTGGAATCAGTGATGCGTCTCCTAGTGGGAGCATTCCTGCCTTTGGAACTAATACCTCTAAACCTGCAGAGCATAGGGTTGCGGGGACAGGAAGCAAAAATTTTGCGAGTTGGTCACTAGGGGTAATAGCGAGTGGCGCCACTCCCATCTCCATCCCTTGATTCCTGGACCCATGAATCTTGGCTATGGGAGAAACAGTACCATATAGATGCTAGTTTAGATGTTCTCTCCTGGAGAACATTGCCCCAACCCTGCAAAGTACTGCCACCTAGCCAGCACCGTAATTGTGTCTATAGAAGGCCTTTCCATCATTCTGTCAAGCCAGCTGCTTCAGGATGTTGGGGAACATGGTGAGACCAGTGAATTCCATGAGCATGGGCCCACTGCCACACTTCTTTTGCTGTGAAGTGAGTCCCTTGATCCGAGGCAACGCTGTGTGGGATTCCATGACAGCGGTTAAGGCATTCTGTAAGTCCACAGTTGGTAGTTTTGGCAGAAACATTCCGTGATGGAAGGAGTGCAATGGAATCAACCTGCCACCAGGTTGCTGGCTGATCACCTGGAAGAATGGTGGCATGTTGGAGACTCAGTGTTGGGCTCTGCTGCTGGCAGATTGGGCACTCAGCAGTGGCTATAGCCAAGTTGGCCTTGATAAGTGGAAGTCTGTGTTGTTGAGCCCATGCATAACCTCCATCCCTGCCATGAGTCCGTTGGGCAATGACAGGAGTGGCTGCGGACAGAGGATGATTGGTTTCCAGAGAACAT